AAGGAGGAGGATTGGCAATAGATGTTAGCTCAGGGCCAGTCTTCCTCAGCAAAAAGAGGAGGATTAGCATGGATGTTAGCTCAGGACTGATCTTCCTCACCAAAAAAAAAAAAAAAAAATCAAGTAAATTTATTCATTCAACTCCTATGTGCTAGTCACTATTGTAGGAGGTGGGAACATAGCAACAAGCACAACAAAGTCCTAGCCATCATGAAATTTGCATTCTAGTGGCGAGTGACAAATAATAAACTATCGTAGAGAGAGTCCCTAGAGCAGTGCTTGACTCAAAGTAGGCAGCACTCGATAAATATCCAAATAGTGAATAAACGAATGAATGAATGAATGAATAGTACTTCAAATAGTAATAAGTTCTGTGGAGAAAAATAAAGCAAGGAAGGAGAACAGGGAAGGCAGAGGGTAGGAGATGGCTTTTACTTTACATAGGATAGTCAAGGAATGCTTCACAGATTAGGTAACAGCTAAGAAGAAACCTGAAGGAGGTAAGGCAAGAGGCCATACTGATATCTCGAAGAAGTGTTCCAGGCAGAAAAAACAACTACAAAGGTCCCAAGGCCTGGCATGTTGGAGCAACTGCAAGGAGACCAGTGTAGCTAGAGTACAAAGGGAAAGTGGTAGAAGAGGTCAGACCAGCTGGGAGAGGGTGGTGCTGAAGACCCTAGGCAGCCTTGTAGACCACTGAAAGGACTTTACTTTTTAATCTGGGTGGGACCCCAAGGACCGTTTTCAGCAGAGGAATGGCATGATTTGAAATACACTTAACAGGATTACTCTGATCACTGTTAAGATCAGACTGAGAGGACCAAGTACAAAAGAAGCAAGACCATTGAGAAGGCTATTCCAATAGTAGCAGGGGAGGTGGTGAGAAGTCTTCAAATTCTGGATGTATTTTAAGGACCTGCTGCTCACAGGACCTGCTGGTGGAGTAAGAAAAAGAACAGAGTCAAGGGAGAGTCCTCCATATATTCAATACAACTGAAACTGAGATGGGGAGGAATTGCCAGAGACGCAGATTTGAGAAGTTCCCGAGTTCATTTTTTGAATATGTTAAGTTCAAGAAGCTATTAGATATCCAAGTAGAGGTATCGAGAGGCAGCTGGATATAGCAGTCTTGAGTTCAGAGGAAAACATTCAAGCTAGTAATTCACATTTGAGAATTGTCAGGGTATAAATGGTATTTAAAGTCTTGAAAGGGAGCACCTAGGAAATGAGTGTAGATAGAGAAGGGATCCAAGGACTGATCTGAGTACTCCATCTTGGAGGCTGAGGAGATAGGGAGGAATCAGCCAAAAAAAAAGTGAGGGAGGGCTTAAGAAGGAGGGGCCAATGAGGTGGGTAGAGAACCAAGGGAGTGGCATCCTGGAAGCCAAGCGAAAACTAGTGTACAAGGAGGGAGTGTCAAATGCTGAGAGGTCAAGATGACTGAGAAATGACCACTGAATCTATGTGCTATTTTCTAAGCATGTTCTTCCTTACTCTACGAATACCACTTTTTTTCTTTTTTTTTTTTTTTTGTGAGGAAGATCAGCCCTGTGCTAAGATCCATGCCAATCCTCTTCTTTTTGCTGAGGAAGACTGGCCCTGGGCTAACATCTGTGCCTATCTTCCATCCACTTTTTATATATGGGACGCTGCCACAGCATGGCCTGACAAGCAGTGCCTCGGTGCGAGCCCGGGATCCGAACCCGGGCCGCCAACAGCGGAGCTCGTGCACTTAATCACTATGCCATAGGGCCAACTCCACTTTTTTTCTTTTAATCCAGGTAAAATCCCAGTATTGTCCAATGAATACACATAAGGTTTCTGTTCAGTGCAGCTATATCTGCCTCAAAAAAACAAAAATCAATGCTTTTAATCTGGGCACAACAGATTTTACAGAGTGAATAATATTGAACAAATGCTTTGTCTGGTTGAGGTAATTCTCTCTCTGAAACAAAGTCCGTAAGTCTTGCTTGTGCTCAGTAGGTGGGACCAGAGAAATGAGCTATTTAAATATATTTCTTTTATTCTGCCATAAAGTAGCAATTATTCTTGAACTCCTTTCCCTCGTCCCTAACTCAAACATCCTAACCAGCTAAACAAAGACTCTAAATTTTCACACACACACGCTGAAAAACAAAGCAGAACACAATCAAACCCAAAAGTTGGATGAGAAAGGGATTTCTGTGCATTGCACCTTCTTTCTTTTATTACACAGAGGATTAACAATCATTTGCTAATTCAAAAGCTGTGCTTTATTTACATTTTGTCCCTAGAATCTCTAGCCAGGAAGTGCAATTTCTGGTGTCTTCATCTTAAAACAGAATTATTGCTACAAAATAAGGTCTTTAACTTTCTGTGCTCTAGGAAGCATAGTCAAGTCTCAATAAGCTACACTTCTGAAGCAGTAGAATAACAATCACCAAAAATCGTATCATGCAAATATCCTTCATACCTTCCTGAAATGGCTACAACTTTTAAACGGACTGTGCTCTCTGCCTTTGGGCCTTTGCTCCCTCTGCCCTCCACCTTGCAATCTGCCAACTTGGGACTCAGCCTGAATGTCAGCATCTCTAGGCAGCCTTCCTGGATCCTCTCCATAGCTGAATCAAGGGCCCTTCTCTGAGCTCACAGCACCCTCTGCTTACTCATATCCTAACACTGTAACACACTGTACTGTGAATCTGTTTACTTGTCTGTCTCCCTCTCGAGACCATAAACATCTTGAGGGCAAGGACAGGATCTCATTCATTTTTATATCCTTAGTGTCTGGGACATATCAAGCAAACAATAAGTATTTGTTGAATGGATGAATAAGATGAAATTTGACCCGGTGTACCTTATGTAATTTTTGTAGCACACCTTCCTTGATAAACCAATTGAACTGAGGCTAATATTAAAATTACTGGCATCTACTCACATCCCCAGCTGATAGCAGAAACAAGAAATTTCCCCCAGCTGATATTGGAAATAGAAGATTAAAAAAAAACAGACACGCTGCTCAAGATCAGCTCAGGAGAAGTCATCCTACCAGCTGCTCGTCCTTGGTGCAAGACAGCAGCCTATGCTTCCCACACCACAGAAAGAGCTAATGGACCTTTGGATTGTTCTCCTTACCTCCCTTCCACTGATCCTGTATTCTTCTCTTCTCTCCCCACTGTGCTTTTCTCTCTCTTTCCTTTTCTCACCTTTTTTCCTTCCTCACTATTCTATACTTTGCATCTGCATTCTGTTCTCATTTTCTCTTTAACTTTTCTCTGCACTCCCTTCTCCGTGCCTTATTTCAGTCAGAGTGACCCTGGGGAATCCATGGGCATTGCTTTTTCCAAATGGGAGAATTTAGGCCAAGGATGTTGCTGTATCTCCTGGTCACTCCTGTAAGGCACACCAACATATTTCTTATGTTTCTGAGGAAACCAAGTAATGACCCCATAACAGCAGCGCAGAGTCACCAGCACATGAGATCAAATTGTTATTCTACACAGAGGGAGTAAGACATGCTTCTAGGCTGCACTCTGTAGTATCGTGGAAAGTACCAGGAAAAAGGCCCTCTCAATTTACTATAATTTTAAATAAAAAGAGAAATGGAACCTAAATCTGAGAGGGGAGGAGAAAAAGAAACCATGTGTTTGGAAAAAACGCTGCCACGTTGGTAAGGCAAATTTAAAAAGCTGTAGTATGCTTGCTAGGCCAGGTAGGTTAGAAAAACAAAATGTGGTCCTTGCCTCCAGGGAACTTAGAATCTCATCAAGGAATCGTTCCCACCACTTCTCAAACCCATAAATGTAAACATTAGAGAACAAGAGGGAAGAGATTCTCTTAAACCATGAGTCAGGAACCTAACATAAGTGGATTGGATGTTCTGGGAGAGAAAAATACAAACTGGATGGAAAGCTTTTTGAGTTTAAGACAAAGTTATTCCAGGGTCAGCCTGGTGGTGTAGTGGTTAAGTTCCCATGCTCTGCTTTGGCAGCCCGGGGTTCGCAGGTTCAAATCCTGGTCACAGACCCATGTACCACTCATCAAGCCATGCTGTGGTGGCGTCCTACATACAAAATAGAGGAAGATAGGCACGGATGTTAGCTCAGGGGCAATCTTCCTCCGCAAAAAGAGGAAGATTGGCAACAGACGTTAGCTCAGGGCCAGTCTTCCTCACCAAAAAAAAAAAAAAAAAGATAAAGTTATTCCATGTGTCAAAGCCAGTGCCACAAGCATTGGAAGCCAAGAAAAGGAACAATCCACAACTAGAAGTCAAGGGGTCCAGCGCAGGTCCTAACAAGCTGTGTAACCTTGGGCAAGTCACTTCACTACTCTGATCCAAAAATGGCTCTTCCATAAAATGGGCATAACAATACCTCTCTGGCAAAGCTGTCTGTGATCATTAAATAAATAATGTGAAATCACATTGAAAGGCTTTCTATAACATGCCAAGATGAGGTAAGAGGAAGTAAAAATCCTTCCTCTGAAAGGAGTATAAATCCTGTCGTTCAATTGCCAAAGTCTAAGCCTGACTCACCTTCCCAACCTTATTAACCCCCTTAACTAACCTGCGGTCACTGGAGTGGGAGGAGAAGAGTCATGTGTGAGACTCCCGGGGTAGGGCGGTGACTATTTTAGTCAGTTGCTCCATATCTCAGTGGCTTCATCTGTAAAACGGGTGGTGTGGAATTCACTCAGTATCCATAAGATAGTGCAGGTCTGAGGAAGGGAGTGGGGAATTTACCATAAGTGAGTAAAATATTTACATAACCTTCTCCCCCACCCCAGATAAATAACCAAGATCATCAAGTTTCATTACTCCCTGTACAGAATTAGAAGGGGTCTTAGAGAACACTTAATCCCGAGTTTTACAGATGGGAAAACTGAGGCCCAGATAAATGAACCGGGCTGTAGAAGTCTCAAAGCTAGTCACTGGCAGAGCTGGAACTAGGGGCCAGAGCCACAGATTCCCAAGTCGAGCATCCTCTCTGCCTGATCTCAGGGTCACCCAAGGCGCCTGTGGCCCATACAACACATTATCAACACCAAGAAACATTACAATTTAATCAACAGCTAAATGTGGGCTACCCAAAGGAAGGGCTGTAGAACTCCGGGCGAAGGGAGGAGGCTAAGAGCTGGGAAAGGGAAGACTTCATTGAGCAGGTGAGTAGAGTCATGGAAGTATTCAGATAAGAACAAATTAAGGGAATATTTCAGGCAGAAAAGGCTTAAAATAGGCAGTGTTCAGAAGAAAGACCCAATGGACAAAACTCTCTTTAGGGAAAATAAATACGTGGCAGACTTAGAGGACTAGAATGCTTTGAATCACGATAATTTAGTCCTTTTGTTGTCTCCTGAATTTTTAACATTGACAATTTTTCATTCCCTAATCAACTCTGTCTCCCTACAAGACAATGCCCTCTGCAGAGACCACATCTAGCTTAGTGGTTAAGTATACAGACTCTGGACTCAGATTGCCTAGATTCAAATCCTTGCTTTCCCACTTAATAGCGGTGTGACCTTGCACAAAATCCTTTACCTCTCTGTACCTCTGTAAAATGGAAATACCACCACCCTCATCTCAGGAGATTTTGTGAGGATTAAACGTGTACATTAATCATATTGGCCACAACCTAATAATGAGTTTTTCTTCACTCTAGTTTTGATATGACCTTTTTTTAATGTAAAGAAGAGAAATTACCAGAGTACACTGCACGTAGTAAGGATAAGAAATGTTTTCTATTATAAACGTGTGCGCATATGTGTCTCAGCTATTATGTAAAATTTCTCTCTTTTGGTGGTTTGCTTTTCAAAACGTGAGAGCCACTAAATTAATGCATACAATAATGCTTCAAACAGTGCCTGGCACATAGTAAGCACTTAGTGCTACTATTGTCATTGCTGCTATTATGGACCTACCTATTAAGATCATTTGTAGGTTATATAAGGTAATATGAAAGCACTTTGGAAAGTCTGATACACAATATTAATGTAAGTTAAAGGAGCAAAAAGCCCTTCTCTGCATCTCTAACACTCACACAAGCAGCGCCCTGTTTAGGCACATATCTGTTGCTTGGCCCACAAGTTATCTGTTACACTGTACTGAGGAGTCCACAAACTATGATTTATCTAACACCCTGTCTTGCTCTGTCAATATTTGCAGAGAAATGAGGCTTGGCGCCAGAGTTAAATTATTTATTTTTACCTGGTTGGGACTTTGGGGTGGGGAAGGCGGAAGTCATGCCCATGGGTTGCTGAAGGAAGCAAGTGAGTCATACACAGATATTGCTTGCTCCCACAGAGCCAGGTAGACTCAAATGTGCCACAGACAAGGCAGGACTGACAAATACTTGAGCATTTAGGCAGGGCTGAATCACTTCCCCCTCCCTATCCTCACCCAGACACCTCATAAAAAAAAAATAGCATTTGAGCCCCTTACAGGTATAGTTCACACCAGGAAACACTGGAACTCCCCAAACAGATACAGACAAATAGAGGATGACTGCACACCAAAAGATTACCTGAGGGGTTCATTTTTTTTAATTTTTTTGTGTGTGAGGAAGACCAGCCCTGAGCTAACATCCGATGCCAATCCTCCTTTTTTTGCTGACGAAGACTGGCCCTGGGCTAACATCGTGCCCGTCTTCCTCTACTTTATATGGGACGCCGCCTCCGCATAGCCTGACAAGCGGTGCTCGGTGCCCGCTGGGGATCCAAACCTGTGAACCCCAGGCCACCAAAAGCGGAGCAGCACACTTAACTACTACGCCATCGGGTGGGCCCCAGCATTTAATTCTAACACCCTGACTTACAGAAAAGTTTGGAAATGTGCTCACCAATAAGGAAATCGGAAGGTCTGGATTCCATCCTCGACACTGTGTGACCTTGAATTACTCACTTCATCTCTCTGGGCCTAAGTGAATTTGTCTGTTAAAAAAAGAAAAGACAGAGTGAGAGAGATAACAACACCTACCTCAGAGGATCATTGTAAAAATTAAACGATAGTATTCGGCAAAATGGCTAGCGCAGGATCTGACGCTGGTAAATGCACAATAAATGTCTGTTCCTTCTAGACCAAAAGTGATCACCAATTGTGATAAACTGAGGTTGCCGACCAGCTGGCCAGTGAAAGGTCATGGGCAGCCCAGGTCGCTTCATGGAAATTGGTTGTTTTTTTTTAAGTGAGTTTTATAAGACCATTTCTTGTTCTCTCCAGCACAACAGCCTGTGCTAGAAGTCTAGGAAAGCAATAATTTTCCATCTCATTCCTTAAAGCAGTGACTCTTAAGTGCTTTGGTACTGGGGGTCCAAATTATCCATTGGTACTGCCCCCCACCAACCATCATTAAATTTAAAATGAGCGAGAGACTCAGTATTATCGCTACGTTTTACGGTTATTCGCATTCCCGTTTCAAATTAATGGAGGGAATGCATTAAAATTCGCCCACCGAGGTTTGGACCAGCCTGCGGCGTTTTATCCCAGAGCGGTCAGAGCACTCCCGGCCGACGGGCACCGGGTGGGGGTAGGGGTCGCATTCTAGAGTTTTCGGGCCGACCCCAATTTCTCATTGGCAACGAAATCAGGCCAAGTGTCGCCATTTTGTGTTCAGAAAACATGGCGGCCACCGCCGTGGGGAAAGGAGGAGGGGCGGAGGGATCGCCACGTTGGGCGCTTTCCCTGCAGGATTCCAAAGTGCGTGGCGCACATGGTCTTTTCTGGCTGGCTTAGCTGAAGGAAAGGGGAAGGGGCAGAAATCACAACCGGTACACCAGCGACCGGAGTGACCTTTCTTTAGAGAGGAACATGCGGCAGGAAAGGCCTTCCAAGATGGCGGGCGCGTGGGAGCCGCCCCCGGACAGCACAGGGCGCGGCGGCTGCACCGAGGGGGAAAGGGCCGCAAGGCAGCAGCGGGGGCGTAAACCGCCAGGGGAAAACTCCCCCAAAGCACTGGTCGGTACCCCCTGAATAAAAACGGCCCCCAAGAAGCACGCCATTGTCTTAAACGTCTGACGAGACTGCCACAAGTAAAATGACACTAGGGCAGGAGGTGGGGTTTCTGCGGGTTTAACCGAAACTTGCAAAATGCAAACAAAGCATTATGTAAATGGACGCCATTCTTTTTATGGCCGTCTTTCTACCACTTCCCAGAAACAATAAGCAGAGATGCGACTCAGGCGGCGGCTGGGGGAGGGTGGGTTTCGGTCTTTTTCTTCACGAGCCGCCGCCGCGAAGCATGGGCAGGAGTGGGGGCTGGCGCGGGGAGCCCGGACGCCGGGGACGAAAGGGCCCCCACGTGCCCGTCAGCGCGCGCGCCCGCACCACAGGCCTCGCCTAACCGCCCCTCCCCCCCGGAAGTCCGAGGCTGCCCCTCCCGTCTCCCCACACCCTCGCGCATGCGCTCTGGCCGCCTCACGCGCACGTTTTAAATCCGCGGCGTCCCGGCTGCCGCCTGCAGTTACAGCCGGGGCTGTCCGTGTCGCTCCGCGCTCAAACCCCTTCTGTAGGGAGAGAGAATAATGTGTCGCTCCCATTCACAACACTAACATTTCCAGACATTTGCCGGTGCCGCTAGGGTTAATAAAATACATGGTCCTTTTAAAACGGTGCCGGACTCACAGTTTCTGTCCATTGGAGCGTTATTTTCAATGCTAGGCTGTTAAAAGGGTTTTTTAAAAACTACCGTGTGCGAGTTGGCGCAATCTTGTGACCTAAAAAAGACGGGTCCTCATTTTTTTCAAGGGGTCCTGCGCAGCAAGCACTTCCGGGGTCAGAGGGTACGCGGGGTTGAAAGCGGGCTTCCCGCCCCGCCCAGACCGCCGAGGCTGCCGCCGGAGTCGCCACCGCCGCGCCCTCGCC